CCAAAATGCAATATTGCCATCTTGACTCACAGACCCCTTCATCTCATCCCCAGTGAAAGAAAAGTGTCCCTGCCTCACCTCTGATTTCACGCCAAGAGAAACTCCTGACTGCTGCTTGTCAGAGCCCCTCCTCGGCTCTCCTCCCTCGCCCTCCCACGCTGGCGCTCGGCGTGGAGCGAGGCGAGCTTGCCAAGCCTCGTCTTGTTCTCCACGCCTGTGGCACAGGCTGGCTGACGGGGCAGCGAGCTCCCCATCGTCTTGTGCGGGGTCTGCTCCCTGCCAAGCCGTGCCTACCCAAGCTGGGAGCGCCCCAAACTGGGCCCGAGCGGCTCCTCCCCCGACGTAGGCAAGGTTACACCTCTCCTCCCTACGCCTGTCAGCGAACAGCTGGACTTCTCTGGTTACATGTGTGCAACCATTTAAAAAAAACATCCAGGCTGGCTTACTCAGCAGATTATAAAAGAGTGATTTACAAAATGCGGCTTTCTTCCAGATCAGCCCGTGCCGTTGTATTTATGTGACTGAAGGTCTCAGCTGATCCCTTCTTTTCTTGTGCAGCCAAGAGGTTTGCAGCAGCAGCAACAGCCACGGCCAGTACAATACTGTAAGTCACTGGGAATGTTTTTTTCTCTCAGTTTGGAAGGGGTTGGCGTTTGTTGTATCAGATCCGTTACACTTTTTCTAGCATAGAAAATGAAGAGTATCTTCTGCTGGGGCTATGACTGGGCTGCCCTGTAAGATGCAGCAGCAGTGTGGTGCCTCTTTTTATAAGAGCAGCATGAATGAATGATGCAATCATGCAGGGGGGAAGCATCATCATTTTGTCAGGACAGGCAAGAGGGGATTGGAGAGTTGGGAGGTGTGTATGTCAACATTCATCAGGTTTCTTCTACTCCTATACAACTACTTTTTAAAAGGTGCTTAAATTCACTGTTAGGCACTGCTGTTCATATACTAGTGTATAGCTCCAAACAATCTCTTAATTTGCATACAGGTTTGTATTACTACCTTTAAAAACTGAACAGAAACCCAGGAAGTAAGAAACAAGTTTAGTAAGGTTAAGGACTGAATCTTTCTATTCTCACACTGAAAACTGTAAACTCACAGTTATGTGTGGATGGGTTGAACTTTTCAAGGGTAGTACTTGCACAGATACAAACAACGGCCACAATTTGCTTAAATATAACTAATCTGCCTAAGTGTATCCCCTTTCCTCTAAAGCTTTCAAAACATATTGCCAATACTGAGAATTAAACCTCAGCATAGAAAAATGGTATCACTATTATTCCCATTTTACAGACACAGGACTAGTAACAATGAGGATTAAGTGGTTTGTTTAAACTAATACCCTTGGAAACACTCTTGTGAACATTTTTAGAAGCGGGACCACTCCTGTATAGTGGGAACAGGTCCTGAGAAAAATTTCAAGAACTATTTTCCCCAAATCCCTTAATCTAATCAGCAGCTTCCCTTCAATGCAACAGAAACAGTTTAATGTGGTTGTGTTTCTGCTCATCTCAGTCCAAGTTTAATGCAATGTTATTTTGCTGTCAGGATGTATCTCAGAGTGTGTCTCAGTGAAGTGCTCAGTCTCGCCTTGCTAAATAAGAAACTGAGAGTCAGAAACACCAGAAACTGTTTGCAAGCTAGGAGTGATCCATTTTAAAAGATATTTAAAGTAATATTTCATTAAGGTTCACTTAATCTTCATTTTCTCACAGCAATAAATGTGAACATAATGCAAAATAGCAACATGGCAGCACTTCTGAAAGCTGAACTGAGTCTAGTCACAATGAGGATTTTGACATCACATCAAGATCTCATCAAATTTTACCAGCTCCAGAGCACCTGGAGGTCTGAGTACCATTTACTCGTTCCTTTTGCATTTTATGTAGCAGATACTGCAGATGTTTCAGTTTTTCAGTGTGGCAAGTGCCCTTCTTTGAAGGGTCAGCAAACATAGAAGATTTCAGTTGTTTTCCTTTGACATGTGGTCTTACATAATTCCTGTGCTTGCTTCTGTGACTCCACCCTCTCTGTTACGAAACTATTTCTTGTGGAAATGCCATTTTTTTTCCCAAATTGCCTAATGAAGTCCTTCATAGTCTGGAGGCAAGGACATCTCATGGGAATTCAGTTTTCCCTTGTGATTTCCTTTTTCTCCATCTTTATCTCAAGTTTCACCTTACCTCTCTCCCTCTATCACTCTTACGTCTTCACGAGTCACTTCTTTGCCCATTGTTTCTTCTCTTTCCTGTTTTCTTCTTTTCAGCATTTCCCCACAATTTTTTATTACCATACCTGTTGAAATGTTAGCTGCTTGGATGCTTTTCCAGCATGCAAATAATAGGATAGGAATAGATTACCTATCTGAAATTCAATGGCAGAAAGATCAGAGATTTTCCATCTGTGTTTTTCATATGGAAACAGAACTCATTATCTGTGAGAATTTTTTTTTTTTACCATCTAATTAAAACATTGATGCATTTAAGCAATCAGATGCTCCCTATTTCAGAGTAATTAATCTCTGCCAACTGTAGAGGCCTTTACCACTCTGGAATAAAAACTGGCTGTTCTCTTACTAAAGCTGTTAGAGATTTGCCCCTAGAAAGGTTTTTACACAGCTTCAGTTCTTTGTGTTCATGTTTCCAAGTAACACCTACCTGTGGACAAGCTACGGCATCTGTCCTAATTTCCTACACTACTTACCCAGAGGTGAATTCCAGGCAGCTTCCTGGTGGATGACATACCAGGACAGCCCAGTGAAAATTCTGAAAACAAGGAAAGGAACAGAACCTCACCTGCTTGTATTTTCCCCACTGCTGTTGCCCATTACTCAATCACTAACAGCCTTGCCTCACGCTCTCAGCAACATTTAGTGCTGGGAAAAAAAAAATCACAAGTTACCGAAACCGGCATGTTACCCTTTGGAATGGCATTTGCCAGCCTCTGGAGCTCATGGTGACCCCTGGAGCTCTGCCAACAAGGGCAGAAGAACCTTTTTTTCACTTCGAGTGAACCATATTTAACTCCCAAAATTTGCTTTTCCCACCAGCAAGACTCCCTGCAATAGCTGAAGCTTCCTTCATAGGTTCTCCTCTTTGTTCCTGTATGAGCTTCCCTACCTTACAGTTCATCACAAGTTCTCCAACATGTGTGTTGATGATACATTAGCTAAAACCAGGTCTGTGTTTTCCAGGACTCAGTGCCCAGCTACAGCAGAAAGATTTTAGCAGGTCACAGGCCAGGGGAGATGAGGAACTACTGACGGTTTCTGCATTTCAAACCACAATTTTTCCCTTCCAACTTGTCATTTTTAGGTGCTATAAATCACACCTTGAAACTCTTTTCAGGGTTATTGCATGGAACAAAGGGAGGACAGGGTTAATTCCAACCATGGCTCCAAAACTGGTATCTGTAATTCTTCCCTAACTTGTCTATTTGTCCATCAAAGTGCAAAGTTCACCACAGTGGTGGCCTCACCTTTGTAAGGAGCATCCAGAAGGGAAAGGAGTATGGGAACTGTGGATACCAGAGAGAAGGAAAAGTTAGTATCTCTTCCTTCCTGCTCCCAATGTGTGTTTCTAGCGATTACATTTTTCTCAGAGAGACTGAAACTTTGAAGACAGGTATCCAGAAACATATTTCAGGTTCTCACCAAGAAATCACATCATGGTATGGTGTCCCCACACAGTGACATTGCATCACAATGTGGTAATGTTGCAGCCTCAGGTTAGCACGAGGCAATGGGATGGCTTTGCATAATGAGTCCGTGCTGGAACACCGTGACGCAAATGTAACGCCACAGTGATGCAACAAGTTTGTCCAGTAGAGCAAATCTTCAAAATTGGCACCAAATCCACATCTGAATTTTTGGTGGACTTTATAGTAGGCTGGAAAAAATTAACACCCTGTAATTTAAAAAATGTTAGTGCATGTTGTGGTTTGTTTTTTTTTTTTTTTTAATTCCACTGCACAAATATATCTAGCCAATGGCTGTCAAGGCCTGCCCTAAAGTCAAAGCCCTCCTGCTCAGAAAATCAAAATCTTCCACTGAAAATACAAACACAGTGCTGTGGAGCCAATGTCAAGTCAAGGCTAACGCAAAGTAAAGTTGGAATTCACATGTCACCTGTCCACTCACTGCTGAGTCTTAGCTCAGAAGCAGTCTCTGTCAGAGGGAAGTTTTTATGTCTGTGGCCTCTTAAGAGAGGTTTCTCTCTCAGCTGTGGTGATGGCATCTATTTTTTACATGTACCGTGCAGTCTTTATAGAAAAATACTAAAAAAACGTGCTGTCTGTAGCCAATAATTTTTCAGTTAATCTTTTAAGGCTGGTGCAGAGTTTTACAACATGTCCATGCCAGGACAGCTCTGATGCCCCAAGAGCAGAGACCTGCCCAAGTATGGTTTAGTCCTTGTTTCTGCCTTTCCCAGTAGTGGAGTTTGTAAAAGCCCTGTTCTGGAATATCTTCATTTTACTGCGTACCCACTCACCTTTGCTTTCAGGCACGCTGGGGAGGTTGAGCCCAAGCTCTGTCCTACTTTCCCACACCTAAACTGAATACGTAGGGGGGACATATGGGCTGGGTGATACCTGCTCTGCAATTCTCAAACACCTGCAAGGCAGAAGAGCCCTGAGGAAGCTACTGTGTCACCTTCCTGGCCTGGTATAAAAGCCATGAACCCACTTCGATTACCTGTAGTAGTGCGTTCACACCAAAAAAATGAAGAATAGCTCTAAAGACCCTCTCAAACAGTACTGTTTCATGGCTGCCTTTGGATAGCTTTGCCTTTAATGTGACTTGCTCTGTTTCTTGGTATTTCATAGCTACCTATTTGTTAAACCGAGATTATCTCTTACAAATACAGCTCTTAGCTGTTCACAACAGGTTTCACCACTTAGGTTTGGTGGTTTCATTCATTACAGACTTTTACCTTTCAGTGAAGGACTGGAGTATTCTCTTTTATTCTACATACATGAACAGATAAAAGATGAGTCTGTGTTCTATACATTTTTTTAGTGATTATGGTAATTTTTCATAAAGCCTTTTCTATCCCAATATACACCATATGGTTACCAGTCATGGGAATAAAACCAAAAGTTCCCTTTTCTGCTTTGACTATTAACTGTTTATCTGGGATCTCTCGGTGAGCACACAGAAGTCACCTCAGGAGACAGCACTGGCACTTACCATGTGAGATCCCTGGATCACTCCTGTCTGGCAGTGAGCTACAGCAGTACTGATCAGCTCCTGTAGTTTTCCACAGCAAGGTACATAGTAATCATCTTTTCCATCTTCACTGGATGCCTTTTGAATCTGGGGGTGCAAAGTTTATCCAAAAAGGGTGAAAAATAAATGTTTTGTGGGCACCTGTGTATCTAAGACCTCTTGCCATCAAAATACACATGATATATAGGAGAAAAATAAATTAGCTTAGTGAGAGGAAAACAAAAGATGAAGGTATATAACACAATTAATTATATAACATTCTGTTTGACAGTATTTTTTCCTCTATCCCAGAAAAAGAGAGCACCTGCTACCCAGATCAATTACACAAGACATGTTCTGAGGGACATCTAAGAGATTAGAAGAGACAACCAAACACCTTTCAAAAAATCTGGGAAGTGAGATAGATAGAAAGCTGTTATTTCTGTCTAAATGTACAGATTGGTAAATAATAAATTCCATTATGAAAGGGTGAAGCACAAGATGAGTAAGGTAGAGTAAGAAAACACTTGATTGACACCTCGTGCTTCTGATCTGCAGAAGTGCTCAACATATTTAGGTGGACAGATATAAAAGGGAAGAAAATAAACATTCGTCAGGCATTGTTACAGAAAAAGTTGTGTCATGATGTGATATCTTAATGCGTTGAGTGAAGTTCTCAAAGCCCAAGACTTCAATGAATTTTATAAAAGAATAATTCCCAATGCTAACAGCCAAATCTTCTATGCATTATGAGAATATTTAGTTTATACTAATCAGGACACAGAAAAGGATTTAAACCATCATGATTTAGTAACCACCCACTGATAGGTTTAAGATAGTTATGTCTACTGCAATCAAGCAAATCCTTAAGGGCTGGGTGTCTTTTACCATCTCCTGGAGCAACTTAATTTGACATACTAGACTGGGTCTGATGCAAAATCGAGATCCTTCTGAGCAGTGAGGGCAAGACGAGACAGAGAACTGCAAGTCCCACACAGCAGTTGGCAGTCTGATGGTTCAGCAAATGCCAAGTATTACAACCTTGAACCCCATGTGAACATCAATGGGCCGAGCCTGGAGAGAGCAAATCAGCAACTAACCAAAGCTCCACGGCCCACCTGTAACGTAAATTGGACATCAGTAGGCAGCAACAGCAGAGAGCAAATCAGCAACCGAGCCAGGCCTCCACCACTACTCACACTCTTTGATAAAAGCTGGCTACCAGGCTGTGCTCGTCCCTACTTGCAAGAACCAGATCAGCTGTGCCAATGGCTCAAGACGGAGTGCAGTACTGTCATTCAGACAAAGACTTTATCTTGTCTCCTCACAGTAAGAAGGTTCCTAAAAGGATGGCGTCCCTCTTGGAGATGAAAGAAATCTTCCGCACTGCTGATGCAGTATGCTTTGATGTGGACAGTACAGTCATCAGGGAAGAAGGCATCGATGAACTTGCGAAGTTTTGTGGAGTAGGAGATGCCGTTGCAGAGATGTATGTATATTTGCTGTATGCTTCATAGGAACAGTAGTAAAATATAAGCATGGATAAGGTTAATCTGTGACAATGAATTTACAATAAGGATTGATTCAACTCCGTCCTAGATTATTACAGTTTAAAAAGGATTTCAGGAATAGTCAGTGGAATTAATGCATAACGAAGTAACTTCTTTTGGAATTGTGAAGCCACTCAGCAAAACTATACTGACATAAATTCTCTAATGTTAAGTTTCTTCAATAGACTAAGATCAGACCTCATCATTAAACTTGGCTAAGCACTAGCAAACCTTATTGAGATGGAGGTGTCAACTCTCTAACACTTCTCTGAGGCTGATGTTTCCATTGGAGCTTGTAGCAAAAGTTCTGTTGATTGCAGAGAACAGCACCTGAGCTGCCCCTTAGGAGTACTGGTCACAGTGGCTCAGATGCACTCACAGAGGGAATGAAGCCATTTTCCTTTGCCTCACTGGTTCTCACAAGAGCTCTGATCTGTGGAGATCTACCAGTGGTTGCTACTAATCTTTTCAGTGTACCATTCTTTGCCTTTACCATGTAGATATGGTGTAACCCACAATCTATGGTCTTTTACCTTAGTCCTTGTCATTCTTCTTTAACTGTTTTTGGGAGAAGCCTCAACTTGCTAAGTGTCACTGATTTGCTTTCTTTGGATCACCGTCTAGGACGCGCAGAGCTATGGGTGGCACTGTGACATTCAAAGCAGCTTTAACGGCACGACTAGGACTCATACGTCCATCCTATGAGCAAGTGCAGAAATTAATATCTGACAACCCACCTCAGCTAACACCAGGAATACGGTAAGAATTTCAAATGATCTAACAAAAAAAGTTGTCCAAAAGCACATAGCATAAATCAAAATTCTATTACATCAGTGAAACTGTAAGACCATAGAGCTGGTTTTGATTGCCATCCTACTCCATTTCCATTTATTTGTGTGCAAAGCTTGTATGAGGATCTTATAATGGCTTGAGTCCATGTCAAGGGGCTAAGCATCCAGATAAAAAGAAAACATTCTTAGGTATTAACTGGTGTTTTGGCTGGCAAGCTCAAACTCTGGCTCAAGGATTAAATGGGCATGGACAAATCACATGTGGTTTTTGATGGGTGTTGGAACTGAGAGATTTAATACCCAGTATAAGCCACTGGCTTGATCTGTACTGCAATTATATCACCTCTCTCTTACACTTCTGTGTGCAGTCACACCCCTGGACACACATATCTGTGCATTCATTTATCTTTGGGTTTGGAATAAACTTTAACTATTTAAACTGAAAAGGTGGGTTTTTTTCCTATTCAAATTGTTTCAAACAATTGAAAATTTTCTACTAAAAACTTTCTACTACAAAATCTGGCCACAGTTCCAAGCCTAAAATATTTTTAGCACACGCAGTAGTTTAAGATGATACTGTGCTTGTATTTTCTTCTTGAAATGAAGCACATGCTCAGCTTTTGCAGTAGAAGGCAAAGCTAGACGTAACTACAAAGAGAACATTGTTTCCTTGTTAGAATCACATGATTTTCCTTTTCATTCCTTCCCTTTCTTCTTCCTTTTCTGTGTAGCCTGCTTTAAGCCTTCACTTTGCTCTTTAGTATTTAGCATTTCTGCTGTTACTGCTACCACTTCTACTGCTCAGCACTGCTGCATGCTGATCTTTCTGCTTCTAAAGCCAAATCCCATAAAACTTTTAGCTGCCTTCAAGCCCCATTGACAATAACTGGGTCCAAAAACTTCTACTCTTTTTGAATCTCTTTCTGTAGCTAGTCCCCTCTTCTAGAGATGGCAGTGCCTGGGGAACCAACTCCAAGTTAGAAAATGTTTGCACTTTGTATACTTTTCAGCCCACTTTCACAGTCTGGTGCAGTGGCTTTATCTCTCCCACATTCCCTACCTTTTTTCTGTATTATAGATTAATTTTCTTGCTTCATAACAGAAAAAAATCTGAACTGGATCTGCTCTCATTTCTTCAAGGAACTAATGTGAACAGTATGGAGTGTAAAGAAAACATTTCTGGGGAGTGCTTATTTTTGAACAACACCTGTTTGTCTCTAGACGTGATGGTTTTGTTCAGCTCTCTTCAAGCAAGGTGTACACACAAACTTGCACGGGAAAGAAGGCAAAGCTTTGGGCAGCAGAGGTGTATGGAGCTGGAAAGCAGCACACATCCTAACCAAGCTAGAGTAGCACAAAGTGTGGGCAACCTCATTTAGGAAAGATGTATTTTAACTTGTTATCCTTAGATGCTGCCAGGCACTCACACTTGGTGACTGCTCTTTCTTCTCAGGGAGCTGGTGAGCAGGCTTCATCAGCGAGGGGTCCAGGTCTTTTTGGTCTCTGGAGGGTTTCAGAGCATCGTGGAGCACGTGGCCTCACAGCTGAACATTCCAACAGCAAATGTCTTTGCCAACAGGCTGAAGTTTTACTTTAATGGTGAGATTCCCTTAAAGTCTCTTTCATAATTTTTGGTTCAAACTGTCAAATTTATTGGGCTACTGATACTGTCCAGCCTACAAGCCCTCATTACCAATCCAGCTAGCTCCAAGCAGCCAAAAACATGACTTCAGGTCATTTTCCAGGCATGAGAAACAGAGCTGTAGCTACTTTTTAATTGCAAGTTGTGGCAAAGGTAAAACATGTTACAGTTGCTGACAGCAGAGTTTCATTTTCTCTTGCTTTTTTAAGTTAAAAGAGTTTATTACACTTGCTTTCAGAGGCAAACTTCACTTTCAGTGACTCTGAGGTATGTATGGAGACCGATGTACTTTAGTAGAGCTGCTCTGGACTTTAAGCTAGTGTAATCAAGCAGAACTGTAGTTAGTGAGGTTGTTTCTTACTCAGTGCTTCATACACTGTCTATACATCATACTGGATGCTGTTTTTGAAATGTTTACACCAGAATGACTGGCCCAGAGTGACTGGGAATGGATTTATAACACTACCCATACAGGGTTTCTACTTTTGTCAGCATTTCAGCTCTTTGCAAATATTCCCCACTGAAGACTGGGATAAAATGCTAGTTTTTATGCTTGCCTTCTAATTACTTTTTTTGGGATGCTGATACTGTGAGGCTTACAGGACTGCATGTAATCAGCTGTTTTATGAAGTAAAGATCATAGACATATATCTCTCTTCATTTACAAGAAAATATGTTGTGTGTCTAACTTGTCCTTCCATGGTGCTCTAGGAGAATATGCAGGATTTGATGAAACACAACCAACAGCTGAATCAGGGGGGAAAGGAAAGGTTATTACTCATCTGAAGGAACAGTTCCACTTTAAGAAAGTAGTTATGATTGGAGATGGAGCTACAGACATGGAAGCCTGTCCCCCTGCCGTAAGTATTAAAGAACTGGAATTCTAAATTCCTTTTGAGCAAATGCTTTGGGGGGAAAAGAAAAAAAGAAAAGGTGTGATTTGAAATCTTTATAGGACTTCAGGGAAGATCCGTAGCGCTTCCCAGAGCCTGAAAGAGATCGGTGTATGTGTGTAGGCAGTTTTCCTCTAGAAAGCCTGCACCATGCAATGGTTGATATCCCTCAGTTCAGACATGTCCGTAAGGGTGTCACCTCTAAGCCAGTATGCTGGCTGAGTCTAGCAGGACTGTGTAACAGTTTAGAAGTCTGCCTCAAATCAAGCTGTTATTATCACCCCTGCTTTTCCCCTCTATGTCTCCACAGTAAGTGCTTGCTTCTGTGCAGAGGTCTTACCCTGCCAAGATCCTGGTTCTGAACACTGATTAATGGTGCTCAGCATGAAGGTCTGGCACAGATCTGGTGCACATTTACAGGACACTGGCCTAGCAAGAGGGTTCATCTCACTGTACAGTGGTAACACCTTTGAAGAGTCAGCCTTGACAGAGTGAAGTAATAAAAATGAATAGAGAGACAATTTTTATAAATTTCACAGAGGAGAGATCTTAATTCCGTGTCCCCTTTAGCGCTTTTCTCTATATAAAAGTACCCCAATACCCCTTCTTTGCCAATGCAGAGAGACAGATATCCTGGTGGGTGGAAATGCACAGGAACAAATGCTGAGAGCTACTACTGATGCGAGTTATGACAGCTGCCCCCTTACTGTTAAATATGTGCATGACCAAAGCTGCTTAGTATCTGCTTAATGCTTTCTACCTAAAGGCAAAAAAGCAGCAGTGGAAATTTTATACACTGCACTTTCACTGCAGATGGTCTTCTAAGATGTAGAAATGGTGATTGTTCCTGGTTAATGATTGAGGAGATGGTTAATGTTTACTTTTGGTATCTATCAAATGAGGTAAACAGAGTTAAGATAAACAGTATAGGGATAATTGTGAGATGCTGCATGTATGTTTGAACATTAACTCATTCTTGAATAGGAAGGCCTTATGTTACCTCACATTTACATCAGATTTTCAGTAAAATCTCAGATCTGAACAATCTTGAAGTTATGAGACACTGAGACACAACTGTCCCAGTGGGAACAAAACTCTGATAACCAAAGTGGTGCAGAATTAAATTAGTGAAGTTCCTGTTAATAAATATGAAAAATGAACATGCAAAGTAAATTAGGGGAAGAGCCACAGAGGAATACCATAATTTTAAAATGCAATCTTAAAAAAAACCCCTTAATTGCTGAGAAGCTCCATTCCTTACATGGGCCTGCAAGATTACATGTGCCCATTCTTTCTGTTTTGCCAGGACTGCTTCATTGGATTTGGAGGAAATGTTATCAGAAAGCAAGTGAAGGAGAAAGCTAAATGGTACATTACTCACTTTGACGAACTGCTAAAGGAACTGGAAGAACGATAAATTATACAGTAAAATAATATATTTAACAACTATAAGTCCATTATACAATGCAATTAAACATATATTTGTTTGCAAAGTCGTGTTCTGGATTTCTTAATGATTCTGGGTGTTGGGTGCCCTCATCTCTGGTCTGAAACTTGTCTTGCAAATAGCACTATTCCACTCAAATATTTTTTTAATGAATCGTAAGATTTTTTTAAACATCTTTTCCACAGTGGAAGAAGTCAGTTGATTATTCACTCACAAGTGAAGACCAAAGGTAGAAAATTATTAATAAAGTTAAAAACACCTTAAAGGATTGGTCCCTGGTCAATATTGCATATCTATTGTTTCAGAATCATTAAAGTTAATACCTCTACTTATTTTGGGTGGCAAAAGAAGAAGGGGGCCACAAATGAGTCGTCTGTCTAAATAATAATAATATAGTCTAAAAGGTAAACAGCATGGGAAGTACTCTCCATCCCAAAGAATCTCAGAACTAGTTTAAACACTGAATAGATAGATTGAAATCAGAGATACTTAGTAATGTTTTCTATAAAATATGGTTACAGGAGAACCTAACCTAGCACGTCATCTTGTTACTCAACATCACTGTTACTCAACCTGTAGTCTGAAAGACATGAGATACATGCAAATCTGAGATATATGCAATATTCATCAGTGTCCACCCAAGCAGCAGATTTTTAAGGCGAGCCATATAGTGGTTCCCATACTTTATTAAAATAAACTCCAAAATGGCAATTTTGTAAAATGGTCACACTGTTTACTTAACTGTTTTATTTATTTAACAATCCACCCCCGTCAACCTATAACTAGATGGAAGCTAATTCATCAACCTTTAAAAAAAATAGTCTACTTATTAAGAAAATACTAAGAAACTTATCTAGCCGCCTCCTCTGCCTCAAGGGTTGATCAACCACCCTTAAACTGTTTGTACCAGAAATAAGTCTAACCTGTTCTAAGTAAGTACTTCTCTGAGCTTCAGCTAATGAATCCTAGTTTCTTAAGGACTCGTCTTTTGCGGCTCCAGCATCTGATCCAAGAGGGTCCTTATACACAACACACTTGATAAATGCTGCCTTTTTGTCAGCAAGTCTTGGCAGCTCTTCTGTCTTTTTAACCAGCTTTGCTGACACATCATGGTATTTTTGTTTCCCTGACTTATAAAGAATCTCACATCTGATAATGTGAAAAGCTTTGCTGATGTTAAAATATATGTGACATCTTCCACTTCCTTCCATCCACATAAGACCATCACAAGAGAAAGGTGGGTAGATATGACATTTGTCCTGGAAAAAAAATCTCTGCAGGCTTTCATCTTCTGGGTGCTTACAAACAGTCTGAGTACTTTTCTGGAAACTGAAGATTAGGCTGAGTGCACTAATTCTCTTTCATCTCACCACATATTTCCTAGATGGGAAGAGAAACAAGTGATGCGACTACCTTCCAAAATGTCCGCAAGATAATCACCGCTTCTCACAACTTGCACTAGATTTCCTTAATTTAATAAGATTAAATCAAGGTGCAGTGAAAGAGCTCCTGTCCAACTGTTTAAGCATCACCAACAATTAAAAAACCCCACCAGTTCTGTCCATTCTGCAACATCATCAGAGAGGATACATGGGAAAGAGGCGTTAACAAAGCCCCAGAGCGATGAACGGCAGCTCTAAGAGATGCCATCTAATGTTTTTGGCAAAAAACCTGAGGCAACAATTGCCTGAAGTTACAACAGAACTTACAAACTAGAGATGTAGAAGGGTTAAAAGAAAATAAATCCAGAAACAAACTTCTGATGGCCTTTTAGAGAAAGGCAGACATATAAAACAGCTATACTGAATACCTGTATACAGAGTTTAAAAAATTTCACAAAAGCCAAGACAGACAATAGTTGGCAGGCTGCTCAACAGAAATCTTCTGGGAGCATTAAAGATGATCTCTTTCAAATTCTTCCTGAGAAAAATCTCAGCCAGCTCCAAGGCCAGCTCATGTACAATCATGCTTTTGTTCAGTCAAGACTGCATGAGTAGAACAAGTATAAACTCCTGCTCTCATTCAGTGTGTTCCCCTGCAATTCTACAGTTATGAAGCAGAAGTGTTTCTGTTTGCTGGTTTTCTATTAATTAAAAGGCCACTAAAAAAAAATTAAAATAACCTAACATCCATCTAATCAGCTATAGCTACAGGCCTGGATCCTACAAACACTGTGACATGTGTCACTTCAAGTATATGTAATTTCACTAATGCCACAGTCAGAAGACAGTGGAGGAGGCTCTGTGCCACAGAGATGTTAACATTCACAGCAGTATCTTCTGTCAGTCTGTGTGCTATGGAAACAAGGCGTCGTGCCAATGATTTCACAACAGCTCTTTAGGTCTGACTGGTTTGAAAAAAAATACCACCCCCCTTCCCCTGCGCAAATATCAAGCCTGACCTCTAGTCCAGAAGGTACCAAAAGGGTTATTTAGCTCAGCGAGTGGCTAAGCTCTTCTGTCTGTAAAATACTGTGAAAAAATATGAGAGAAATAACACAGTGTGAGGGAAGTTTCAATGTTACCATCAAGCTGACGATTTACCTGAACATGTCTCATCACAGTAGAGCAAGGTCTGGAGAGCAGCACACATCAGGCAAGTAATATCTGGTCTTCAGGTGGGTCTCCTGACTAAGAGGATGGGGAGTCACACTGCTTCACAGAACGCTTTGTATTTTAATGGGATTATTTAGTGAGGTAGAATTGCTTTAAGTTATATATTCAATTTGCACAAGGGCACTTCTTTGCAGTTTTTGTCAGGAAGACTACAGGACAACTAAACTTGAGTTTTAACTTGTCTTCAATACAGTGGAACAAGAATTGGTAATTACCAGAGACCCTTCCAGACACTCTTCCCCACTTTCCAACCATTGGAAAGTGACTTCAGTTCTGAACTCTACAAATTCTGCTCTAAGAAATGCTGAAGTATTGCTAGTCAAAGGAAGAAGGCAGACTTGGCCATGAAATTAAGAGGGGGAAAAAAAAAAATCACAACAGTTTTTGCAACAAGGGAAATCAACTTTAGAAAGGGCTCAGGCAAAGAAAAGCAAGAAAAAGATTGGCACTGCTTATTTACCTACTGCGTTATGTTCGGCGAGTTTACATAGTTATCTGTAACTAAAATAACAGGAACCAATCTCTCTCTGATGACAGCCAGAGCATGAGTTTGAAGCTCAGAACGACAGGAGGCACATTCATAATACACAACTGGTGGGAATTCATCTTAGGTAGCATTTAAAGACCAAAAGAGATTTGTGCCCCATGACGTCACCCTGCAGAACATCCATTTATTCCTTAGATTTCTTCTTCATGCAAAACTTCATGGTCCTTAAACAACAAGAGCTCTGCCTGACTGAACTTAATTCCTAGTGATCCTAGCTCAAGGTAAGAATACACAGACTGCATCAGGACCCACAACATCCCATAACTCCAAAAATGTTTTTTCGCCTTTTGTCTCTGAGATTACTGGCTATGAGGGATAAATTACAAGGACAATTAGGAACAAGAAATATGGGATGATACTGGGAGAATTAACAAGGACTGGAAGCTGATATTGTCATCCTTTTTTTTTTTTCCTTTTGCAGCTAAACAGCAGTCCCAAAAGTCTGTAAAAATGACAGCCCCAGATGATAGTACTGCTTGTGACTGATTTACAAGAAGGAACAGCTGAAATGATTTACTTGGTCCACTGAGTAAGCCAGCCCGAGAACTTGAAGCTAATATATAGTACAGAATTTTCCTCAGTACATTCCCATAATCAGTTGACAACAGGGGGAAAATATGAGAACAGACAAGAATCAGATCAAACATTGACTTTGTTCAAGATGAAATTCAAGCAAAGGCAAGAGCGCAGTGTATTTCACATAGGAGGAAAAGAAGAAATCAGACTTGAAAAATTAAGTGTAATTTGTGGAGAAAAATCAAAAGGAAAAATATTTTGTATTTATCACAATAGATAGAACACTAGAACACTCAGCAAAATGGGATATAATGGAGATATTGTAAATTCATTTTGGGGAAGGAGAGCAGAATATTGGGGAATGCTGTCTCTGACACAGAGAAGCGATATGGGCTAACTAAGCTGAAATATTCTATGCAATTATTAAAATTTTCCGTAATAAACACTTCAAGATGAGAGAAAACACAGATGGTGCAATACATATAAGGTGCCAGTAGAATGTGAAAATTAAAAGGACTTCACTGACTAGTATGTTCTTCCTGAAAACTCGTTGAAACGTACAAACTGGACATTCAGTAACTGATTTGTACATTCAGTATGTTACACCGATTCTTGTAGCCACTTTAAAGAGAGAATATTATTTTCACATACAGGATGTTCACATAATTGCAGACGCCAAAAGTGTTGATACATTCTAGTCTAAGAGTGAAACCAAAATAGAACTGTACATAACGGTACAGCGCTTTCTGCCAATCCTACTGACTCAACATGCACCAGTTTCACACATTGATTTGTAAGCACCTACTGTACAGTTAGTGAAACACCCAACCAAGCATATGTCTGAAGTCATGAATGCTTACTAAATTAAACCCCTTTTCCTCAACTTCCCAGTTGTTTATAGAGATAAATGTATTTAACTGAACCTCATTCCCTGCAGAATGTTCGGACAACCAAGTCTTGTCAGTGTCTCTTCAAAAACTGTATGTCATACTTCACAAAATTAATTTCAGGTGTAGATATCTACACAAATGTGTGATTAGTTTCAATGGGCTTCAGAGTCTTTGCAAAACAGAATGCCCTGTTCTCTGACTATAAGCTATCACCTGACAAACAGTATCATCCTCCATTAATGGCTGCCTATTTGTAAATTAAGAGCTACTTACTGATTTCAGGCCTGCTAGAACAGCTACGTGTATTTCAATGCAATCTGAGGGCTTCAGAACTTCTAATTTCAGAACTCCCCCATTTGTTTTTAAAATCTGCAGTCGTTATAATGCTACACAAAGCCCACAGCAACTCTAACACTCCATTCTGTTGCTGTTACTGAACACTGGGCATTGTCTGTGTGGCAGAAGATACTAAATACTGTAGGTCGTACTTAACTTGAGGGGCTGTCTCACAGAGGAACTCACATGTCTTTGTACTCGTTTTCAATTAACCCACCTTTTATTTACAGCCCTGTATTTCTTTTTAGTCTGGTACAATCCTAAGAGCAAAAGGTCATTAGAATCTGAAGAAAAGAGGTTTCTTTTATAAGCTCAATACAGTACTTTTATATTTCAGACTATGATATACAATGTATACCATATATTAATTTAAGACAAATACTTGTCACTGTATCTATGTAGGCACAAGTAAATAAGTGATTTTACTGAAGTGGAGAAATCTTCAATGGTATCATGATTCTGGACTCCATTTCCTGAATAAGGGGCACTGAAAAAAATGAAGACAGGGTTTAATTTCACTAACAGAGATCATTAGCAGTTCTGCACAATCAGTTTGAACAGATTATTATTGTCTTCAAATTACTCTCCCAGCTAGTGCATGCCAAGTCACCAGTAACTACCAACATTCCTGTAACTGAAGCACACTAGTTTTGAGAACAAGTGATTTTTTTCATATAATCTGTCTGCTCCTTTGAAGGCGAGTTATTTCTGTTCCTTTTCACTATAATGAAAGTTATCTTACATTTTTCTGGTATACCTCCTTTGAAATGTACCCTATGGAACCAAAATCTGATGTGCTTTGCATACTTCTGTGAGTTTTGTTATAAAAGCTATCTTTGATCTCAAAGATCTCCCAGCTTCTAGTTCCAAAGTCCAAACTCCCTTTTCAAAGGAATGCATTTAACAAGGCTCCTGTATTTCATGAAATATTAGAGGCAAAAATTTCATATAAATTTCACTATTGGCTCGCTAAATTTTTGGTCACAAACGTAAGCATTTACACAAATCTGTTGTTCTACAGGAGAGATGCTTGTATAAAACTTTACCATTAATAAAGCATCTTTTCAGCAATTAAGCAACTTTCCCAAGTTTGTACGATCAATTGCAAAATTCACTTTACAGCTTAGTGAAATGTCCCTCCTTTCCCTTATAGTAGCAAAACTGACATGCAGACACACACACACCAGAGATGCAAAACTTCTTATCATTGTGAAATGTACTGAAGAACAAAAATGATGGCATGCACAAAAGTCTACCTCCAGCATTCCAATGAAGTTAATAGGTTACCTGTGTAATAGACTAGCTCATCCCAGCCAGGTTTATGCCATGCAGCATTCCTTATATCTTCTCTGGTTTGGAGATCTTTGTAAGCTGGTGAGGGAAAACAACAAGCACAAAGTTTAGAAGTAACTCCTTTTCCTTCTACACATGAATACCTCCCTTAAAAGTATTCTAGTGTGTAATTAGGAGGCTGAAAACACTGGGAAGAAAACAAGTCAGAACTTCTCCACAAAAAGGAAAAGCTCCCAAACCAACGCAAACAGAAGGAACTGGGGAAGAGAATCTCTTAGACACAGGTAAGACATATAATGCAACAGAGTGCAGTTATATGTGAGTGGTGTCAGATTTCTAATGCTTGAATGTAATATTCTGAATTGTTAAGATATGAAGATAATGCTGTGTATTTTCTAAAATATTAGACAATGAGTTTCTTCAAGCTAAAATAATCCTTACATGTGAAAAGCAGCTAAGTGTTTGTGGAGACTAACACACAGAGAAAGCCAAAACACTGTGATGCAATAACATAAATAAATGCTTGACTTTCCTTTTGTAGTTGTGATGTATGTGATGCTTGAAACTAATCTGTAAAAACCTGTTAGCATGAACGGGGATGGAGAAAAGAGACAGCAGGATATAGCTTGTCATGTTTATATTATTGAAAACAAATTAAGTAGTCCCTAATAAGAAAGGGCCATGAGAAATTGTTGATGGAAACAGAACAAAACAGGAATGTTCACTGCTGTGTGTTTGAAGAATAAAGTTACCTACACAAAAAATTAAGAAAATCAACACTGTTGATGGAAAACAAAACCACACTTAAATTTTAAGACATTCCTTTGCCTTTTGTAAAAACCTTGTCTCCTGGGCAAAGTCAACAGTCTGTTAGGGGCTGATTCAGTGAAAAAAGAGCAGAGAAGACAAATTTACCCCAAAGGTGATGAACCATATACAGCTGCCCAATTTGCGAGAAAAATCCTCCAACTGCTTCATTATTATCTTGTCGGAAACGAATTGCACGAGCCCTACAGAAGAGCAAAGCAGCCATTAAAACCAGCAGATCTGGGTAGGAAATAAGTGATAATTGAAAGGAAAACAGAGCTAAAAGGAAGCTGAAATTTTAAACAGCATTTGCATAACACTTCAGCAATTAAGAAAAAAACCCGCAACATTGATTTTCAGCACTAAGTAATTAAAATATACCTATATATCTTGTTAGAATGAGTTAAAATTGTAGGCCTACAGTTTCACTAGACTGTGCATTAATCATTTCTCAATGTTAGATTCAGTATAGAGATAATTGCTGGAACAGTGTAAAGTGGCAAGCTATTTTTATAGCAGGGTCTCCTAAAACTAAATCCTTGAGTTTCAGTCTTATGGTCTCTGCCACACTCATTTACCACAGATTTTGTGGTAGTGGAATACAATTTTTTTATTCACACAGAATATCTGTGCAGCTGTCCTATGCAATGCTTCATGATTTGTTGTGTAAAGGTCAATATTTCTCTTAACTATAAATCTGTTATGTCTTCTAAAACGGACTGGCTAGCACTACAGATATGCCTATTTTATAAAAAATTCTAAATTCAATTTACTTTAAATTACTGAAATTAAATAAATTGTATCATGACAGTGACATGCCTAAACAACCAAGTCCTCGCCTTTGTCAAAATAATGGAAAACTCCAAAGTTTTTAACTATCAACCATTACAACTGCAAGGAGAGTGAATGTAAATCGAAAGAAACGTACACAGGTTTTAAATAAGACAAAATCAGAAGCATATACTCAACAGAAGACTGTCTCAAATGCTTTTAACCTATATATTAAAACACAGATGTGCTGCTTGATAGCTTTTCAAGAAGCAATTTGACTTTTAAACATTAAAAAAGCCCACATTTAGCCCATCTGAACTAAAAGTAAGTCAGCTTCTAGCAGCCTTGACAAAGTTCAACATCATCTCAAGGAGTTAACTGCCACCCTTCACTAAGCAATGCTTTCTGCTGAAAAGAAATGGTTTCTGATCTATTACAGCAAAATAAAGGGTTATGTGAAGGAAAGCCAAACCAGAGCCTGCCATGTTGTTTGCACACAGAAGTCGCCTTTCTTTCCTCAAAGGATAAATTAAGTGTCAAAGAACTACCTTACAACTAGTGTAAGTACAGAAGCAGGCCATTAACAGGCTGACTGAAATGCTTTGGTACCATTCTGCCACTTCCATGATTTTTACACATACATCTCTCAAATAGGAGAACGCAAGTGCTACAGCAACACTTACCAGTAATTTCCCCACTCAATCATTGTTCCAGGCTATGAAAACAAAACAGACTGTTAAAACTGTAGTTTAATGAAAGTTAGGATACTTGGACAGTTTCCACAACGTTTACATATGGAAAACACTCTGTATTAACAAAATAATTTCCTTCAAGTGATAAGCATACAATAATCATCTGTAATTACTGTTTGCTTACTGGATTGCTTCTTAGTCATTTGCCTGAAGTTTCCTTCAAATGAAAACACAGGGTTTTCAGCCCTGCAGGTACTAGTATTTTGTTGGAGCCTGCCTTTATTTTGGACCCCACACTTTGACAGCAACAATGACTCAGACATCAGCTTTGATAAGAACCAGATTTTTAAGATGAGCCCTGTTTTCCATCTACATTGTATAAACACGCTTTGAACATTTTATAGCAGCATAGAGCTTAAAAAATAAAAAATTTAAACTTACTCTAAGTTGATAGGATCTCAGTTCATAAATATTGGGCCCCTCTCTGGGAACAGGTTCATTCCAGAAACTAAACTCCAACAGTAATTGGTTCTTGCGTGAGAGAAGCATGTTACCTCTTTCTTTGCGAAACTCTGTGAATTCCTAAAAAACAATGTGATTGCCGTCAAACTGTGTATTATGCTTCAACAACAAAAAGCAGTAAAACATACGGTGGCTTATTTTTTTTTAATGCTATCTTGGGATTTTGGGACATTGACATCCTTTAAACTGTAAAAGCATCTAAACTCCCCTGGCATATTTGAAAATTTCAAGTGGCATGTTTACACAGCACTAAGTGTAAGTGTTTCACAAAGTATTCAGGTATTGAACCCTGTTTTTTTTCTGAGTATGAGAATAAACCCTTTTGCAGAGAGGTTTCTAAGTTTATACAGGAAGTGATGAGACATTGAAGTAAAAGCAGGTATCCAAATGTGCAGGTTTTTGGTCTATTATTTGTTTTCTTCTGAGTAAAATAAGCAATTCTAACAAAATCAATTAATTTCACCTTATTTTGACGGAGTTTACTCATGACCTCATTGAGAGCTGGATAGCCTCCCTCATATCTCCACAGATGAACTGAAACAGAAAAAAGGAAGCTTTTTTAGGAATGTCACAGCACAGAGCTAAATCTTATGGAATATCACAGTATAAAATGCCCTTCATATTACAGGATTAGACAAAAATAGAAATCAGATAATAGGTTTAAAATAGATTTTCATTAAAGAAAGCACTACACATTTGAACATTTTAAAAATAATGGAATCATCTGCTTTCTGAAAAGCATTCTCAGACAATTTTGCAATCTACTCTGAAGATAACAGGGACATTTATGAAAGGACTTTTTGTTGCCATGCTAGTAAGAGATGATAACTTTGCATGACTGTAGTTGAAATTGAGATTCAATTTCAGAGGATGACTTAATTCCAAAAATATGTTTTATACCAATTTCATCTAAGAACAATAGAGGTGTAGACTTTTTAGTTCAGTAAATTATTCAAGCACAAAGAGGAACACAATTTCTGTAGGATATGAAAAATGATGCGAATGTTATTTTTGATGTAAACATTACATTAAAAAACCAAAAGATATCTGAACATGCTACAATTGTTACATTTGCTAGGATCTTCCCCATAAAAACAATTTCAGAGCAGGTATCTACATTTGATTTTTTTTCAAAGCACTCTCTCTTTAATAAATCATAATAAATCCCTTCAAAAATCATAACAAGATTTACTTACAGGTATTTAGTATAGCAAGGCAACAGTATTTCACCTCAGAGTCACAAAAGCGACTTTCTCTCCTCTAAAGCAGTTCTGTGCTTTTTCCAGGAGAGCGAACTGGAGAGTAATGTAAAACACTTCACTATGATAGCAGATTCATCCAGTGCGCCTGCTTCTGCTGTCTTATCCCCAGGGCAAATCTGATATATCCACCTAATATTACCACAGCCTGGGCACAAGTACTAAAAAGTCAAAACCCCCACAATCTGCTTTATTGCACTGACAGAACTGTTGCAAAAACATTTTCAAGGCAGGTTATGGATGCAGTTACAGATACAGTCTGTTAATACTTCGCAAAAGCAATGAATGAGACTTGGCTAAGATGTGGTCACTTCAATTGTCTTCATTCCCCAATTTCCCTTCAACTTTCAGAATTGTTTCTCAGACATTGTTTGGTTTATCTAATGTTATTTCTTCACATTTGTTCAGTGCCAATATTGCAATATGCTGTGAATGCAGGAAAACCTGTGTTTGCATTTTTCAGTAACAAAGCAATGACACGATACTAGCACAGCTGTAACGATGGAGCTGCGTAACAAACTACGTAACAAATAGCAGTACACCACTCTGTATCTGTGGCTTCCCATTCCTTCAAATTCCCAGGGCCTAGGAAATGTTCCAGGTTTTCTCTCTACACTGCACTCTTTGTAGTTACCTCTGTAGCAGCTCTTCAGTAATTTCTAATTCCAATATATTTTCAGTCTGCATAGGTAGTATCCTTACATGAACAGAAATATTTTTACTTTCCTCCAGTAAAGGCCTAGCTTACTGTTGAGTTTACAATGAATCATTTTTTCAGATGGTGTGAATGATTTGCATTTCATTATCATACAGCAATTACAGTATGAAAGTCTGAATAAAGCTTTTATACTGGCCAATGCAAGATAAATTCTGTCTTTGTAAGCCTTTGCCTTTACCCTAAATATTCAGGAACATGATCTGTGCCCGCAAAGTATTACAGGACCACATTTTACAAGCGTTTCCCAAAACTGTTAATCAACCACCTGGAAAACATGAAACTGTATTAACAATACAACAGATTTTAGGAATGAATGCTTTACTGTCAAACTCAACAAGACAAAGAGCAAGCACTGTAAATGTTAATATGGCTACTGATAATTTTATGCACACACACCCTCACTGTATACATTTGCTAAAGGTTTACTGTCAACAGAGATGATTTAAAGAGAAGAAACCTGCCAAGCACACGTTTCACTTGTATGGTTTTACATTCTGTTGTACTTCTATCTCCTACCAGCCTGATCTTGCTCTCCGTACCACGTGTTCCAAGTCCCCACCAGTGCACATGGGTAGTGTTTTTCTTCATGAATCTTTGGCAGCACCTCTTGACTTGAAAACAAGGAATACAGACACTATTTTGCATTTCCTTCAGGGAGGCTACAGTTGATATGTATAACAAATCACCACACGTTTATCATTATGGTATGAAAATTCACAAGCTCTACTTTTCAGAAGAGAAAGCTGAAATACAAAAATCTCCTACACAGGGGAAAGATAGCTACAACACTGAAAAATTAAGGTAAGTGTTACCATTTCTTAGACTGTATGACAAATACACAGCATGGTAGAATTCTTTTGATGCAATACATTATGTCTATCACCCAGAAGGTTACCCAACACATTAGGAAAATAAGCATCAATCAGGATGCCTCACAGAAAATGGAGCCTAACTACATGAGTGATCTGCTTTAGAAAAAAAAAGTTTTTCTTTATCAAGGGAAGTATAATACACAAAAAATAGGAAAGGATAGTCTTCTGTACCAATTACAATGCTATTGATTCAGTTGAGCTGAATGAATAAAACCAAGTATTTTCATAGTATGTGGCAATACTGCTTTCTACAATTTCAGAAAGTGGTCTTAGTTTGAGGCAACTTACCCAATAAAGCATACAGTTAAACTGCCTTACAAATACCTCCACCACAACATTTCTGTTGACTATTTCCAGTATTTCTAACATTTTTTCAAACTTTGAAGTGGCCTAAATTAGCATTAGGAAATTAATTTTTACCGAATGCTGACTCGGTTAAGACAGCTTTCATTACACTGTACTTTGATGAATAAGTTAATTAGTCTGGTTGAACTTTGCATTTTAATATTTTTCCCTAAGTAACTACCCCTCGTACTCAGTCTGGCTCACGGGCAGTGAGTCTCTGCACAATATGAAACCATAGGAAGTAGGCTGGTCTTGGGCTGAGAGTCATTAGATATGAGTTTTCCTCTTGATTCTGCCACTGACTTTCTAGACAGCCTTGAGCAAATCTCATTACCAATTTGCACCTCAAGACTTCTCACTACATAGTGTAAATAATATGACAGACTGACTCTCCAAAGATGTTTCACCATCAGTTCATTTTTGCAAAGCATGAGATCCTAGACAAGCAGCTTTAAACAGGAATGTTTAATTATTACAATAACCCTAAAACATATTTTGTTGCAAATTATAGAAAAAAACACCCACAGAATACCTTATGAACAACACCTTTTCCTTTTTTAAAAGTAACTGTTCCTAATTCTTCGGAAGAATTAGAACTTCTTAAACACAGTGATTCATGAAGTACTCTCATAATTATGTCTTAGTTATCTTATTAACACATGATGACTAATCATTATTCTGATTTGATACTGAGTAAGAAATTAACCTGTTCATCTTTAATTTAGGGAGAGGAAGGAGGGAAGTTCAGAGAGGATTATGTTTTTTAATTGCTCCATTCTTAAGTTTTCTCCTTTCCTGAAACACTTAAATTTGCTTTGGTGTGGAAAGAATAATAACCTAATAACCTACACACAACTTCATCAGACTGCTGTCAGCAGTTTCTTTCTTTGCTATTGTCTCTTTCCTTGAAAAGCCTCTGCTTTCACTCCACATTCAGGTAGCTCATGAGATAACACAGAGAAGTGGTTCCCTATTCTGTATAATTGGACATGTTTATATTAAGCTTCCAAACAACAAGCTGGCTGAATGCTAATTGTCCTTCTCTGCATATTAATTTTTTAAACTAAAACAATCTAAAAATACCTTATGATTGAATGTTATTCTAGTGGATTTCTATGTTTGTATAGCAGGGAAAACTGTTTTGGGTTATCTAGCCCCATTTCAAAGATGAACACATGAGGGCATAGAGATGTTAGATGATCTATTCATGGCTGTACAGCCAACCAATAACAGAGTTGAGGCCATTAACTGGGAGTTGTGAACTCCTTTCCCCACCCTGCAGTCCAGCTGGTATTCTCACTCATTCTTTATGCTAAGAATGTTTTATTTAACTGACAAGACGATCACTGTCAGTGAGAAAGCACTGCTGTTTCGAAATGCGTGAGGCTCACTACATTTCCAAATTTAAGCATACTGTTCTTGAAAAGGCAGTTGTGCTGGCTTCAGAGGAGTATTTATGTAGGCAGAATAGGCCTAATTTTTCTACAATTTTGTTCTTAAAGTAGTAAATTTTTGCTAATTCATACATGTTATAAAGTTGTAACTTTTTGGAATACCTGTAACAGTACTGCTCCCTTTGGAGGATTCACCCCAATGCAAAGATCCTAGCCAGGGATTTGCATAGCTCTGTAAGGGTAGATTACTTTTGTAGAAGGATATAGACGAGCTGAGAGAAAATCAACCCTCAGGTTTTTAAAATCTCTTCAGAGTTATGCTTCAATTTAATACTGGCATGTAGTTTCACTTAGCAGTGCTCTCTCCCTTTCTTGTATGCAGACAATCACCACTACATGGCAGCTGGAGTGGGACATGCTAGCATACCAGATCTACCCACACAGACCAGCAATTGTAAGACAACTAGGGGAAGGGGGAGAGCTGTTCCAACAAACATCTTCCATGTTTTCACAAAATGCATCATCCTACATTGCAGCATGCATCCTACAATGACACCTCCATGATGGAAGGCAGGGGGTGAATTAAGCAAAGTATCTTTTGCCATCTCTCTCCAAGAATAGCATGATCTATATAACACCATACCCTGAAAGCAAAAGCAGAATTTTTCCACCTCCCCTCTAAATAATTGTATTTGCCAATTTTCAGAACAGCTTTGGATCAAATCAACATGTCTAAAATGTGAAAACATAGTAGGCACACTTACCAAAGCTTGTTGTAGGCCTCTAGACATTCTGGTTTTACATTGTGAACTGAAACAACAGCATTATGTGAGAAATGCAGGAACAGAATAAAGAAATTGTAATGTTAAATATAAAAATATCACTCACTCTGTAGTTTATACAGACTGCTGGTCTCTCTTTTGGCTAGAAGGTTGGAGTGAGCATCTTTCCTTGGATCGACTTTGCGAACAAACAGCGATTTTAACCAACTGTCTTCACGAGGTCTGCTAGCTGAAGATACCAGCCCCCTACATATTAACAAGCACATTATACTGTCACTGAGCATGTCTTGAAAGTGCCCACAACGCAGGGAAGATAGGCACAACCAAGTTTAATGCAAACAGTATCATAACACACAGTTACATACATGTCTGTTACTAAACCTTTACACTGAGCCACTTCCTAGCAAGGTAAAGTTCTTTCCCCACTGAGATTTACCCCCTCACAAACCGTTTTACTAGATACAGAGCTGAGCAGTTAACCATACATTATCCACTTTTATTCTTTGTGCATGTGGCAGGGAACAGGTGGATGGCAGCTTTTGCTGCCTATTTATCTTCTTTTTAATCAAACTCAAGGAGGCTGGGTCTGTCCTGACATACACAGACAAGAGTGAAAAAGAGCAAAAAGACTGTGCATAAGGAAAACTTTGTACAGTGTAAACAGGAAAGTAACTCCCATATGTTCCTATGTTGTTTAAGTATCGCTCTAAAAAAGGAAAAGTTAAATAGCGCATCTTTCAAGAGAAAAAAAAATAGAATGCAAGTCTGACTTGGGAAAAATTACGAGTGATAGGAAACAAGCAGTAATATTTCAATTCCAAATTCTGGCAACTGTATTATGTAGGGCTACAGATCCAGATTCTTTGATCAACATTCACAATTTCCCTTTCTTTGAAACAGAACAAGTTCACCATCTCATCTAATCTTTATGCAGTTTCTGCAAGTACACTTCCAAAATAACATCACTTCCCTTCACACCACAGAGTACACAAAAGATTACAATTGATAACTGTGCCTTTCAAAAACGATGTTAAAATTATTCTTCTCTTTTCCAGCTGACAGAAGACCCTCAATCAACATGAATTGTGCAGAACGACAAGAAAGCTGATGTATTTAACTGATTCTCTACAATGTATAATAGGGGACCACCCCAAGCTCAAATGTTTTTTCTTCTTTCTCTTAAGAAGCAATTCCTTCAGTTTGCTTCTGATGAAATACTAAAATATTTATCTGACGTACTAAAAACATAGCACTACTGTTGGAAATATAAACCTTATCCTGACCAGAAGTCAACTTTTTACCCTTAATTACAAACTAGGAGATCCAGAAGATAGGTATCAATCTTCAGCTATAAAATTGTCTTCCAGATCTCAAAAGTTTGTGACAATCATTCAAGGAAAAAAAAAAGAGAGAAAGAAAATATCAACTTCCTTTGGGAAAAATCTCTTCATGAACACAGCTGTCTGTATTACACAAAAGTAGTTCACACCTGCAGTGTTTTTCAACAATCAACCTTTTAGTCCCAATGTCTGAAAATAACAGAATGAACTGGTTCACCCTGTGGAAGCAGGATGGAGGAAAAAAAAAGTATTTCATAGCAGAGAAACAGTAACAAACAGAAGAACAACTGCAGCTAAAATGACCTTCAAAGTTAAGAAGTAATTGGTAAATACCTTATTGGTGTATTTATTGAAAATGACGCCTTCTTTGGCCCTAGGCAAACACAGAAACATGTTACTGTGCTGAAAGCTAAGCAGCTATTCCTAAGAACAAGCATCTAAAAGGGGATTCCACGATAAGGCTGTTGCTAGAGTAGAGGGTACACAGCTGTCTGGAGTAGACGGATCTCTGATCTCAGCTGGGGGAGGCCTGATATAGGTGACTGCAGATGTACTGTCACATCTACATGAGGTGCCACCGAAACTCAAGCTGTCCCAGATGATATGGGGTAAACCCCACCTAATAAATCCAAGTTGTTTTGCTGTTTTAAAAAAGCTCCCTTAAAGTAAGCACTAATGCTCACTGGATAGCAAATGGGGCTCTAGGAGACAGAACTCAACCCCAGTACTGCAGTGCTCATTTTTTCAATACAGATCTGTAAGCCATTGTCATTTCTTCCCCTTCATTAAACAGAATTAGCAAACACTCTTCTAAGAGGATTACTGTTTGTGGCAAATTCTGAAGATGAAAGAGACAAATAATCATGTTGCTTTTTTTGTGAACCAGCTTTATCAGAGCAAGAGCAAACTGGAGTTATGGGGATAACGCTGCCAAGCAAATTCCTTTGCTATCAGGAGACTCCCGTGACTTGAATGTTAGACTGCACCCAAAACTGGAGGTATATTTAACTTTCAATATAATGAAATGAGTAATACTTTACATTTATGTCAAATCTCTTACCCAGCAATTGTAAAGCTCCTCACGAACAATGACTAAGAAATCATAACTATCCATCTAAATATACACTTAATTTAAACTAGGGAATGGTAACAGCTGAAGTTTATTAAAACAGATAGTCAGCACACCCAACCTGAGATGCTAGGTTCCTATTTTCAAGCGATATCCTTAGAGAAGCCCTACACTACTGGTGTCCTCGTAGATACCCACCAATCAAGAAGCCCTGAAGTGAGTGCTGGTTCACTTGTGTGGGCAATATGTACCCAAGATCAGCTCTGGAGGAGCAGGGACTAAATTCATGTCTTTGGACTTCCAGTTGTGAGCATCAACCATGAATTAGTTCAAAACTAATCCATCATCCAAAAGATCTACTTTTAAGTAGCTTAACATTATGCTCCACAATATTATAATACCTGCTCCAAGTAAACCAGATGTTGGATCCAGATTATTCCAAACCCCAAATACCACTAATGAAAATGTGAATATACACATAGAATGTAGATATGCTATATGGAATTACCATCACACACTTCACAATTTTTTATTTTCTGGGAACAATATTTATTAGAGAGTCTTCATGCAATCTTTTAGGACATTGGTTGACTTTGCTGGCAAGTTCTTTTCCTACAAGCGTTACCTATGGGCTTAGCTTTCTTGCTACAAAGATTGGGCTGTGAACACAAAAGAACACTAAATAGCTTGCTTAGATTAAGAATGAGGGTGAAAACACTTCTATCCCACTTAGCTTCTGCTTTAGAACAAAATATAAACTGGGTGGGAGATACCAGGTCAAGTATTTAGACTTTGTAGAAACCCATGTCTGCCTGGAAGAGAAAGAAAAACAACTTGTCAAAAAAAACCTGACAAAAACTTGTCACACCCCCCCCCACACCTTTGTCAAAAAAAAAAAAAGAAAAAAACTTGTCAAAAAAAAACCTGACAGTTTTTGATCTGTGGTCTAAACCGATGTCAAAGTTTATTTGAAATGAAAAAAAACACCAAAACAGGCACATAAAATCTCACAACATATCCTCTACACAACTCTACCCGTTCCTGTTTTAAACAGCAGCTTGCAGTGATGCCTTTAGTCTTCACAGGAGCCACTGCCCATTCTGAGGCTTGAGACAGCAGCTTTCCCCATTTCAAAGAAAGTACGGAAAAACTGTGTGTAGACCCATCCCAGCTTGGCTGCTTCTGTGTCTCTAACACCCAGGGAGCGTGTGTGTCTGCTTCCTACGCCCAAGACACACGTGTCCACAGCTGTGCCCCACGAGCTGTGCGTGTGCACCCCTGCCACCCAGGAGGTGTGTGTGTGTCTGACCTTTCACACATCAGACGTGAGCATGCAAATGTCTGCACCCCAAAACCCGACGGATGTGCTTGTCCATGTGCCCGGACACCTGGGGGTGTCCCAGCTGCTATGTGCAGTGTGAATACAGGTGCCCTGACACCCCAGGGGTGCACAGACGTGCTGGGGTCCATGGTAGCTCTGCATCGTGAAGGCAGGCAGATGCTGGGGTGCTCAGCCATGCACCCTGACACTGGGGGGAAACACGGCTGTTGGGCAGGGGTGCAGCCAGACGCTGAGAGCGTGGGGTGGCTGCACGTCCCGACAGCGAGGGGGGTGCTGTGTGTGCAGCCACGCACCCCAACACCACAGGCCACGAGATGCGGGGTGGCCACGCACCCTGTTGCTTGGTGGAGTTGGGATGCGGAGTAGCTGCACACCCTGATCTTGGAGGGATACCTGGCTGCTGAGCATCCACATACCGCAACAGCAGGAACACCCGTGTGCAGGGTGAGCGTGCAGCCCGAAACCCGGCGATGCGTGGCCGTGGGGTGCCTGCGCACCCTGCCGTGTCCGTGCGGCCTAGGCCG